GGGGCGCGGGGGGCCTGGCGGCAGCGGCGGCCCTGTGGGCCAGGGCGATGTCGTGGAGGCAGCGGCGGGCGGCCTCTGCCAGGGCCCCCCGGCCGTGGGCTGCATAGGCACAGGGACCCGGGCGGGGCGGTGGGGGCGGCGCGGCGGTCAGCAGCACCAGCTCCGTGCCTGTCCGGGCCCGGAAACGCTCAGCAGCCCCCACCACCGCCTCCCACAGCTCCTCGGGGCGCCCCGACGCCATCCACGCCCTGCAGGGCAGAGCAGGACAGAGAGCTGAGGCTCCGCTGATGGCTGATGGCGCGGCCTACACCCAGCCCTGTGTGTCCACCTGTCCCTAGAGGCCACGCCCATCCCTCCCAGCCACCCTGTCCCTGCTGAGCTCAGCTTCTTCCCCAAAGCCCGCTACTCCCCCAGATTTCCTCCCCACCCAGATCTCCTGGTACCATCCTCAACCCTCCAGCCCCATCCCTCCTGCCCCACCCTGTCCCCACAGCCTTGGGCCCTCCTTTTGGCCCTGCCTTGTCCGACCTGGGAACCAACTGCCACACGTGACTAAGGAGTACTTGACATGTGGCGGGTCCAGAGCGAGAGGGGCCATGGGTATGAGATCCACACTGGATTTTTGAAGGCTCAGCACAAAAAAGTAGGGTGTCTAGCATCTCACTGGCAGGTCTGCTGTTGATGACACGTTGAGATGATGGCGTGTTAGCCATAATGGCTAAACAAGACATATGCCGAAAGCGGACCTTGTTTTCTTTTTACGATTTTAATGTGGCTTATAGAAGATTTGAAACTATATGCTTGGCCTGCGTTCTTTTCCCACTGGACCACCACTGCAGCCTCTTCCTGAACCTCTCAGCCTCCAGCTAGGCCGGCACACGGCCCCCTGGGGGTCCTTCCCCGCTGGAAGAGCCCCTGCCCCTCCCCAGCAGCCCCAGGACAAGGTCACGGCCCCTCAACCTGGCCCTGCGCTCAGCATCACAGCCTTCCAAGACTTCTGAGGCCTTCAGTCAAGGTGGTCCCCCTACACCTGGATGGCCTGCCTTCCAGTTACTAGTCAATATTTCTTTCACTCTAGTGTGGAAAGAGCTTTCCCTCGCCCCTAGATCGGGTCAGTCCCCCCACTTTGGGCTCCTACAACGGCGGAGAGTCCCCCATTGTAGCACATAGCCCTCTGGGGAGCCTGCAGCCTTCATCTCTGAGCCACCAGCCTTGCCCTGCACGTGGCAGGCCTCGGAGAGCGGGGGCTGAGCAGAAAATGGTGTGCGAGACGCTCTCTGTGCCTAGATTTCCATCCGCAAAGTTTTGTACTTCCTAAGACTGTTCTGGCAATTCCTCTGGAAGTCTTCCCTGGCCCCCAGGATGGATCAGATGGCTTCTCTAGACCCACAGTGCCCTGGGCTACCTCCATTATAGCTCACTGTCACTTGAGCTTGTGACCCTTGTACCTCTGCTGCCTCCTCCCTCAGACTGTGAGCTCCCCAAGCTTGAGGACGCAGGACAGGCCTCCCCTAAGCAGACAAGCTGCTGGCTGCATCCCCTTATGAGATGGAAAGAGCAAGTAGTTGGGGCGCCTGGCTGGCTGAACTGGAAGAGCATGTGACTCTTGATCCCGGGGGTCATAAGTTTGAGCCCCACACTGGGTGTAGAGAGTACTTAAATAAACTTAAAAAAAAAAAAGAAAAGAAAAAGCAAGGGGACTGGCTGTCTGCCATCGCAAACCTGCTGTGTGACCCTGGACCACTCACTGGCCCTCTCTCTGCCTCATTTTCTTCTTCCTATAAACCACAGTGGGGGAGCCAGGGCTGCTGGGAAGCTGAGGGGCCTCTTCCGGGAGGTAGGGGGCACCCCATCACTGGAGGAATTCAAGCACAGTTCTAGTCCAGCCTGCCAAGGTCTTCTGTAGCTGGATTTCAATTCGCAGGCCCTTTTCAACGCGTAATCACTTAAGCCGTTGTTTGAAAAGCAGCGACTAAGTGTATGGAGTCTGCACCTGTCAATTCACCTCCTACCTGATCCACTAAGGTGGGAGCGGTTCCCTCACCAATGAGACAGCCCGGGCTCGTGGGCCACAAAGCCCTTGTCGGAAGCTACGTGCAGGGAGAACAGCCAGCACCATTCCAGACACGCCCCACGGCAAATTCACCCTGCACTTCCCATCCACCAGGCAGGGGTTCAGGGGTGCAAGCGTGTCATCCCAGCCTCTCCCCCACCCCACGAGGGAGGGGGCTGTTATCAACCCGCTTCATGGTGGCAAACTGAGGGCCAGGGAGATTCAGGGCTTTGATTATAGAGTCAGAGGGCTGGATCCTGAGCCCGTGCTTCATCTCGGATGCCAGCCTACCTTCCTTGCCAGGGAAAGTTTAGGATCTCCTAGTCCAGGTGGGGAAAGTGAGGCCCAGGGAGCCTAACGGTCTCACAGCGACTCCTGGGGTCACCCTTAGCTGGTGGAGGACACTAAGGCTCAGAGCAGGGAAATGACTGGTCCAAGGTCGCACAGCCTGGCAGTGCTAAGCCTGGGGCTCTCGTGTCCCCAGGACATCAGGATTAAACTCTTCGTCCTAGATCTTAGAGCAGTTCCAGGATTGGAAAGAGTGAAATGGGGGTGAGTGGGCGTGAGGGTCCCCCTTCACACCGTGAAGAGGAGGCCTGGGCAAAAATGAGAAGAGTAACTCACACCTCTCTGCCAAGGCCTGCGGGCTCTCTGAGGCTGGTTACCCAAAAGCAGGGTGGCCAAGACCAGAGGAGACTCCACCCTTTCAGCTGCTGGAGAGTCCTCTATCCTCTAAGGCGAGGAGAGATGGACGGAGGGTCCCCAACCCCCAAGACTGAAGAGTTTAAGATGGGGGAGAGGAGATAAGACTTGTCCCTCACAGGAGGGGGAGGGGAGGGCTAAGGTAACTGGCCTCTTAGGATGAGATGAGATGAACTGAGGAAAAGAACTCTAGGTACAGGTGAGGAAAGAGGCAGAGTCCCCCAAGGAATGAGGGATGCTAGTGAAGCCCCCTTCCAACCACCTGTCAAACTACGAGTGCCCCCCTGCCCGAAAGTGGGAGAAACTCGAGGATGCCCCCTCACCCCCCTACCCCGCGTAGCCGGGGACAAGGTGAACGTCTGGGCTCTTTCTCGACCTCTCCGAGACCTTCCCACCTCGCCCGAGGGTCCAGGGAAGAGCCACTTCTCTAGGAAGAAAACAGGAAATCCCGCCCAGGTGGGGGCCAGGACCGGAAGTCCCGCCTTTGGACGGGTGAGGGGCGCCCCAAGTCCCCCCCGGGCAACCCCCAGACCCTGTGGACATGGTCCACGACCAAGTCAAGGACCCTTGTGGGTCTGGAGACCGTATGAGAAGGCTGTCTAGGTTTTGCCTTGGGTCAGACACGACGGTTCCCGCGGGCGACCCCTTTCCAGCGCTCAGCGTAGGGTCGCTGGGCGACCTCTGCCCTCTGATCTACGCAGGCCATACCCCTCCCACGAGTGGCTCGCCCTCCCAGCGCCCCTCTCCTCCGGACGGCCAAATCCTCCCCACACCGCGGTTCACAACGCCGCCTCCACTCACGTGCCCGAAGCCAGCATGGCCGGCTCGGCGCCGTCGCCGCCCTCAAAAGACATGGCGGCGCCTCACGTCACTTCCGCGTGGTTGGCCCTCCTCCACCATGCACACTCCGCCTCCCGTATCCGGGCCGCCCGAAACCAAAATGGCCACGGGGACATCACCGGGTCACAGCGGGGCAATGGCGACAGCACGGTGCCCATAAGAAAGATGGCGAAAGAAAGGCTTCAGCTTGCTCGGAAACAAGCCAAACCATTTCGATTTGCCCCCAAGAAATACGGCCGTCGGCATATGCACACTCAAGGCGTCAGTAAACTAAGGCCAGCGACTTGATGCCCCTCACCCATTGTCAACCTCTTCCACAGAAGTAGAGAAAAGGCATGCCCGTTAATGACATGGCAGGCCAGCCTGGCATCACTTGCCCAAAATGTACATGGACTCTCCCTCCAACCTATTCCCCCTTCAGCACCAAGGCTGGTAAAGATCCAATATGGTAGCCCTTTTTGCTTCGGTTTGCCAGGATTCAATATGGCTGCCTAGACTGCTTTCTCTCGACGGTGACTCAGGAATTCGACTAGGACCGCTTCGTTCCCGCGAATAAGGACGGCTTCATCCCCTTAACCCAAGTCCCTCGGCACCTCTTCTGACGCACACCTTCTCTCACCTTCTTTTCTTTTATCCGTTTCTTTTCCAGGACCTCACTGTCGCGCCCCTCAGAGAGATGAAAGTGCCCCGCATTAACATGGCCGCAGCTGATCGGCTTTGCCTGTGCCCTCGAGCAAAATGGCATCTCTTTAGCTTCAATGCCAGTATACAATATGGAGAAAGAAGTAGGTGTTTCGGAGACGGCTTGAGAGAAGGGGTGGAGCCCTTGGATCCTCCCCCTTGTTTACTTCGCGGTCAGGAGAGCAGCACTGCGTCTGCGCACTCTCGCTGGGCTGCTCTACTTCAGCGTTTGCGCCATGTGACTTAAGCCCTCGTGGTTCAAGTTCAGTCACCCGATTCTGAAAGATGGTTACATCCACTCCTGTTCTAGAACAGGCAAGGGCGCTACCACTGTCCAGGCTTCAGGGGAGTCTCCTATCCGGATGTGACAGCACGATGACCCGGAAAGGGAGAGGACCTGGGTAGTGGGACCTCGGCCGCGGCTATGGAGGGAGCCGGCTACAAGGTAAGCACCGAGGACGCATTCTTTCCCTTCTGTGGTTGCGAGACGCCGCCCTCCGGTGGTCGGCTTCGCCCCAAGACTCTGCCGGGGCTCTGGGAGCCCGGCTGAGCCTTAGCAAACACATCATTCCTTTATAAATGCGCTGTCACCCTCCCCTCCAATGCCCTAGGCGAGACCCTTACCTTATGGCCCCGCCCCCTGAGCGGCTGGACCCCTCCTAGGCCCCGCCCCCTGGGCGTCTACCTGCGCTTGGGCCCCGCCCCTCACTGGTTCCTGTCCCCAGGTGGTGTTTGAGAAGGGTGGCGTGTACCTGCACACCAGTGCCAAGAAGCACCAAGACCCGGACTCCCTCATCGCTGGCGTCATCCGTGTTGTGGAGAAGGTGGGCCGGGAGGCAGCGGGGCTCGGGCAGGCCCAGAGCGGGATGGAGGCCGCATCTGTAGGCGTATGGTCTGGAGGTCACGATGGGGCTTTAGGAAGGCAGGGGGTGCGGACTGGAGGGAGAGAAGGGGCTTTGTAAGTCTGGGGGTCCAGACTGGGGAAGAAGTTTGGAAATACGGTTTGGGGAGATTGGAGGGCAGCACTTCTAAACTCCTCTCTCCTTTCCTCAGGACAGTGATGTCCTCCTGCAGTGGGTTCCTGTAGAGGAGGCTGGAGATTCCACCCAGATTCTCTTCGCCAAGAAGGTAGGCTTTTCTCTCTTCTCCACTTGCTTTTTCCAGGTTCCCGCGGTAGAAGACATCTGAAGGACCTGGGTTCAGTCCCAGACTAACTCTTAGATCCTGTGTGACCCTGCTTAGGATCTAGGTTCTCTTTGCCCCTTGGTTTCCTCCCCTCTGTGAAATGGGGCTGAAGATGCCCATTCAAAAGAAAGCAGACACTGAGATTTGTGGCCATGGGGACAGCTGCCCCCTCATCCCCTTTGCTCTTTGGGAGAGCCCTGCCAGAGTGCAAGAGGACAACACAGCCTGTGGATTCGGGTTCCGTGGGCTCTCAGCCTACAAGAGCTTGAAAGGGTGTGGCGTTTCCCCTCGGGCAGGTCTGCCGCCCGTGTCCAGAGAGGAAACTGAACGTGACCAAGGCGGCTCGCCCACTTACCAGTACTCCTTCTTACCCCGGCTACCAGACTTTGCCCTTCTCGTTATTACAGACTCCTGAGGCTTTCTGTCACCAGGTTCTGTGCTGGGACCGGAGATGCGTCTCAATCAGACCCTGCCTTAGTCCCCGCCCCCGTTGTATTTAGGGGAATTGAGGCACAATGATTGGGAGCCCTGTTTGCAAAGTCAGAAAGCTAGGAGGTGTTGGAACTTGAGTTTGAACCCAGACTCTGATTCCAGAGCCCTGCCCATTTCCGGAGGAAGCAGACATTGGCACCGGAACCCTAAGAAGGAGGAGGGGGCAAGAAAGTATTTCAGGGATGGTAGGAGAAAGTATTTCAGGATACGGGAGGGAATGAGATGCCCGTGTAGAGGGTTTTGCTGGGAAGGTAGTTCGACGTGAAATGCCCGACTGAGAAGCTTGGGCTGCGTTCTAGGGGCCCTGGGGGAAACATCGGGGGAGAAGGGTGTGGGTGTGGAAAGTTTCCATGGGAAACCATGTGGGGGGTGGGCAGAACGCCTCAATGGAGGGAGACTGGAGGCTGGGAGGCCAGGGAGAGGTTATTGGGTTGGGCCAGGGAGAGAGAATGAAGCCTGACCTGGGGCAGTGGAGCTTTGAATAACCTAGTGTGGGGGCATTACAAGTGGCGATTCCAGGAATCTGTAGTGGGATCTGGCTTCCAGGGGTTGAGGAAGAACCAGCCAGGATTCTGCATTTTTCATCAGCCTCACAGGCGGTCTGAGTGCCTTTCTTGAAAATGTTGCTGTTCTCCTTGGCAGTCTTACTTTTGACCCACAGAAACTCACTGAGACGGGTTTCAGCAGAAAAGGCACAGGTGCACACAGCGTATTAATCCAAGGAACACAACATCTGGCCGACAACAAATTAAGCCGACGAGTTTCTCTCTCTTGTTTCACAAGACTGCCAAAGACGTATGGGGCTACGGGCCGTGGCTGGTGACCCTGGGGCCTGGATCGGTGAGACCAGACCACGCTTGCCCTGGTCACCTTTAAATGGCTGCTTGAGCTGAGCCCCTGCATCTGCTTTTTAAGGCAGAGAAGAGGGGGCCAGGCAGGGTGCCATTCACATCTGTCTTTCTCGATTTCCCACAAACTCTCGGCATCAGTTAGCAGTCATATTTGGCTACGTGGGATAGAAATGGAAATAACAGTGGCTTCAGCCAGATAGAAGCTCATACCTCTCCAGCTGAAAAGTCCAGAAGACGGCGGGTCCCTTCCATCTTTGCTCTGCCATCCCCAGCACACGGGAATGCATCCTCACGGCTGCCTTGTGGTCCAAAGAGGCTGCTGGAGCGCCAGCCTTTTTGGCTGTTTTTGCTCACTTTATACGTGTGCTGCAGGTTGGCCAAGGAGCTCTGTTCGTCACGATTACTCGGGGAGGCGTGCTGCTAGAGTGGCTGTCTTAGAAGCCACCGTTCCTTGTGGCAGAGGGAAAGAGTTCTTCCCCGGCATTTCAGCAGTCCATCCTGGAGACATCCCAGCCCCTTGGTCAGGACTAGCTGCATGGCTCCATCCAGCCAGTAGAGTTCAGCGAACAGTGATCCTGCCGTGTGCCCAAGGAGTAGAGAGCTGCAAACATTCGCAGGCGGCAGCACTGACTCTCGCTGTCATGTAAACGTCGAAACATCAAATTCACCTCACAAGACACGCAGGGCAGGGATGGCTTTGCCAGGGCTGGTTCAGCAGCCTTGTGGATGGGTGTCTCTGACTCCCTTCTGGCCCTGGTTGCCTGCCACAGCTACAGACACCACGTTCTCCATCAACGGCACCCAAAGGCTGTTCTAAACGGGGTGTTCATCCCTGTACGTGCCTTTTGTAAATCAGGAATTTCCCTTTACATTCCCCACAGGTGTCATTTCAGCTCCCACTGGCCAGAGTTGGGTCCCTACGGCCACTCAGAGCCACAGGGAAGGCTGGGAAAGGAAACGTGGGGAGGTTTTAACTTCTGTCGTGGGAGGGGCTCCGTCAGCCTGGAAGGAGCAGCGGAAATGGCTTTTGGGTGGATCCACTGTCTGTGTCCCTTCCAGCAAGGTCCCATCACACAGGGTTTCATCGTAGGAGGCACAAAACACCAGTTACTTTCGGCAGGGAAGGATTAAAGGCCACCCTCCTGCTGGCAGGGAGAGGCCTGTAGAGTTTTTTCAAGGGCTGATAGAACGGGACTGACCCTGCAGAACTGACCTGCCAGGGGAGCTGCCGCCACTGCCAAAATGAGGGAGCGGGGAGAGATCGTCCTGGGAGCGGTCCCTACCACCAGCTGCCACCCAAGGGCAGGAAGCTGCTTGGGCCCTACAAGGCTAGTGCCTGGCACTGGGAGACTGAGCTAGCCACCACCTCTACCCTAGTCGCCTCTCTGTGTGTGGGGAAAACGGGAGTCTTCTTCGTCAGCCAAACACAGCCAGCGCAGCCAGAAGTTGCCTTTGCCTCGCTTCTGCTTCCCGGTAGCCTCTGTCTTGCGTCCTGACCTCTAGCTGCAGAGGAGCCCGGGGGAATGCAGTTTTCGCCTTCCAACCTCTGCCCGACAGGAAGGCATACCGTCCTGTGAAGGGACTCCCATCCCCTCCCTGTCCTTCCCCATGGCCCGCGGCCAGCACCATCGGCCGGGACTGCACTGTGACCCTCAGCACGGCCCTCACCTGCACTGCTTACCCAAATCCGCCAGCAGGCCCCACGCAGGGCACTTTACTTGTTTTCGTAACAACCTGTGAGTTGCTTCTTTTATTGAGGTAGAATTCACTTACAGTAAAGCACACGGTCACGGAAGAACGTAAGTCCTAAAAGTACAGAGGCGAGCGTTTCTCTGTTCGCAAAGTCTTGGCAGTTGTCACTGCTGTCTAAGTCCAGGACATTTCGTCACCCCCCCGGAGAAACCCTGCACCCGTTGGCCCCTGCTCCCCATCCTCTCCTCCCCCAGCCTCTGGCAACCAGTAATCCGTCTCTCTGGCTTGGCCTTTCCTGGACGTGGTGTATAAACGGAGCCCCAAGCGTTTTGCTTACACGTCGGTTGGGTTGTTTCCCCTTTGGGGCTGTTATGAATAATCCTGCTCTGAGCGTTTGTGCGTTCAAGTGTGGACGCTTGGTTTCATTTCTCTTGGGTATACGCCTGGGAGTAGAATCGCTGGGGCGTACGGTACTTGTACATTTAACCTTTTGAGGAACTTCCAGGTTTTTCCGCAGCAGCTCCTTCCATTTACGTTCCCGGGGCAGTATATGCGGTTCTGGTTTTTCTACCAGTGCTTCTCTTAACCGGTCTTTTTAATCCTCACCGTCCTGGTGAGTGTGAAGTGGTACCTGATGGTGGCTTTGATTTGAGTTGCCCCAGTGACTACCACCGGCTACTTAACTTTAAGCACTGTGCCCTCCGGCAGTCGGCGGGCGGAGCGCACAGTCCTGGGCGTTCTCTGTGCTCCCCCGTGTGGTGGTGCTTGGGTTAGAGCCACCAGGAGATTGGCTTTGAGTCCTGGCCCTATCCCAGTCCCTGGCCGCACCGGGTGACTCTGGGCCAGTATTGTGCCTCCTCTCTGCCTCAGTTGCCCTATTTGTTCAATGGGGCCGCCTTCGAGGGCAGCCTCACAGCTCGGATCTGGAAGTCCTGAATCTACAGCCCCTCGCTCTCTTTATCTTCCTACCCCAAGGATGTGAGTGGGGGTGACGCCTGCACCTCTGAGGAGGAACCGACCTTTGACCCTGGCTACGAACCCGACTGGGCTGTCATCAGCACTGTGCGGCCACAGCCCCGCCACTCAGAGCCCACTAGAGGTAGGCTGAGCCGGTGCCCCTGAGGGGCAGGTGGACACACAGCTTACCCTCCGCGGTCATGGCTCCACAGGCTTTGCTGGTCACAGTCAAGATGGCCTTCCAGTCTCAGGAGAATGGATCGGGTGCAGGACTGTCCCCAGTCCAGGTCCAGCCTGGCAGGGTCCCCAGGGCTTCCAACCTTGCTCATCTCACCGGGCTCCCTCCCTGATCGGCTGTGGGGGTGGACAGTTGTAGAGTCACAGGGTGATTTGGGCTATCCTGGAGTTCAACAGGGTGCTGGGGGCCCCAGAGGAGGCATCTGGCCCCTCTGGGGAGTAGAGAAGCCTTCTGGGAAGAGGTGATGCCAGCCTCTGGCTCTGGGGGCGGGGCGGGGGGGCGACACCTGGGAGTTTTCTCCCCAGCAGAGAGAGCAGCCGTGCAAGGCCAGAGGCACAGTGCACCGGGTGTATTTAGGAAACTCGAGCTGTGGCCCGAGTGTGGGGTCTGGAGAATGAACTGGAGACAAGACGGGCAGGAGGTAGACCCAAGGGGCCTGCCACCAGCTCGAGGAACACAGCTGTCACTCTGAGAGCCGAGGGAGGTTTCAGAGCAAACCCACGGTGGGCGTTTCCGAGGAGACAGGAGGTGACCCAGGGCTCCCAGAGGGCTCCTGGGAGATGTGTGTGCTGCCTCTGGATCCCTGCACCTGTTCCCAACACGGCTCTCTTCTCCAGGTGCAGAGCCCAGCTCTCCCCGGGGCTCCTGGGCCTTCTCGGTGAGTCTGGGGGAGCTCAAGTCCATCCGCCGGTCTAAGCCAGGGCTCAGCTGGGCCTACCTGGTCCTGGTGACCCAGGCCGGAGGCTCTCTGCCCGCACTGCACTTTCACCGCGGGGGTACACGCGCCCTCCTCCGTGTCCTCAGCCGCTACCTGCTGTTGGCCAGGTGAGCCTTCCTCCAGCACCGGCCTTTGTGCCCGGGGCCCGGCCCCTCAGGGCTGTGAAAGAAACAGACTGCTTTAAAGGCAGGAAAGGGGGAATCCACTGGTGCGTGTAACCGCAAAGCCAAAGGGTAGTTTGGTTTCAGGCAGGACCCGGGCCCCGGAACGTTAGGAAGAATTGCTTTCTTTGCGTCAGAGCTGGTATCACTCTCTGGGGGCCCCTGTAGGCCTGGCCTAGCGGCCCCGGTGACAGAAGCAGTTCCTTCTCCAGCGGCATCCTGGAGCCGCCTCTCACCGGCCAGCCCTGGGTTGTGTGCCCACCCCTGGGGTCCAGCTGAGGCGAGGGCCTCCCCAAGGGCAGCTGGGCCGCTGCAGCTGGAAGTGGGAGGGAACCCACCCAGTGTGTCACCGCACCTGCCCCTCCCCAGCTCCCCGCAGGACTCCCGCCTCTACCTTGTCTTCCCCCACGACTCCTCAGCCCTCTCCAGCTCCTTCCACCACCTCCAGCTCTTTGACCAGGACAGCTCCAATGTGGTGTCCGTGAGTGTCGCGGTGCCGGGCCAGGCCGCTGTGGGCAGGGAGGGGCGGACGCCTCGGTGGGCGAGGCAGGGTGGGGTGGAGCCGTGACCGCCCTCTGGCCCTGTCCACAGCGCTTCCTCCAGGACCCCTACTCCACCACCTTCGGCGGCTTCTCCCGTGTGACCAACTTCTTCCGGGGAGCCCTGCAGCCACACCCAGAGGGGGCCTCCCCCGACCTTCCTCCGCCGCCCGATGACGAGCCCGAGCCTGGGTTCGAGGTCATCTCCTGTGTGAGTATCAGGTGGACCCTGCTGTGTTTTGGCCGTCACCTTGGCGGGCGACCACATTTCCTTGGGTCCCCTTTTCCACAATAACAGGGACAAGAGAGCACCACTCTCACCAGATCGTGTGAGTGACCTCGAGGAAAACCTTATAGCCTGTGACTCTCGGGGAGGACCTTCCTGACACGGAGGGTGACTTTGGCGCTGACCCGGGGAAGGAGATGCTCCCCACCCTGAACGTTAACTGTCCGTGGAGCTAAGGAGGGCTCTGAGCTGCCGTGCAGGTGGCCTGGGGAGGATGGGTGAGGCCCTGAGCTCACTTGCCTTGTGTCAC